CTAACTAAGACATAGTGATTGAAAAAAAACGATTAACTCAAAACGCTTGAAAGGACGGCCCACGATCCTAACTAAGACATAGTGATTGAAAAAAAACGATTAACTCAAAACGCTTGAAAGGACGGCCCACGATCCTAACTAAGACATTGAGTGTAAAAAAAAATTACTATGAAGAGGACAAGAAGTTAGCAATAAGCCGCTTGTCAAGGATGTTTTCCTCTGGCTCCCAGGAGGATTCGTTCAGAGGATAGCCAGCCCATTTAACCAGGTACTGGGTGGCACCGTTTCGAACGCGGGATTTCAGAATTTTCTCGGCTTGAAAAACATCATCCCMATCATATTGGGAGACGGAATCATTATCATTAGAAGTAGAGGTGGCGTCATCATTCGGCGCCGTATTTGGAGGATTAGCATTATTATGTAAATTTACTTGTTGAGCCGGAACAACATCTTCGAAACTGTCATYGTAAATTTCATCAGCGCAAAGACACTGATCATCGCCATCATCGTCCGGTGGCTGTGTAGGTCGTTCGGAAGGGTCAAAAAACTTTTTCATGCGATTTGCATDGATAACTGCAGAAATTCGACGATTATCGCAAGTTCGAAGAACAAAATGAACGGACGAAAGTCGTTCAACAATACGGTAAGGCCCATGCCATAGGTGGCGTAACTTCTTAGTAAGGCCTTTTTTAACATRCGGGGTGTACACCCATACTTTATCACCTGGAGAAAATTTAGGGTCAACAGCATGTCTATCGTGCTGTTCCTTCATTTTCTGTTGCGACTTTTGAATATTTTGCCTGGCTATTTCGTGTGACATTTGAATATTTCGAACAATCCGTTCGCGATGTTCCTGAATAGAAGGCGACAAATTGGTCGGCGGAAGCAGTGCAACATCAACTGGTAGGCGTGGTTCGCGACCATATAACAAATAAAAAGGAGATTCACCCGTGGCAGCAGAGGGGGTGGTCCTGTAGCCAAAAAGAATGGAAGGGATGAAAACGTCCCAGTCGTCTTGAGCCGTGCTACAATATTGAGAGAGCGAGTGCGCGACAACTGCGTTAAATTTCTCAACAAGGCCATTCGTTTGTGGATGATAGGCAGAAGTATTAATTTTCTTAGTATTGATTAGGCGACATACTTCGTGAATCAATTTAGACATAAAATTAGCTCCACGATCGGACAAAAGAGTGCGAGGAGCACCATGACGACACACGATTTCGTCTACTAAGACGCGAGCAACATCATGTGCCTGGATAGTGACAAGAGGGAAAGCCTCTGGCCATCGAGTCAAATAATCGATGAAAATTAAAATGTAACGTGACTTCGAAACCTTACAAACCGGAAAAGGACCTAAGATATCCATAGAAACAATCTGAAAAGAACTTTCGACACTAATGGGTAAGATTGGAGCATTACGAGGAGTCCGTGGAGTCTTTTTCATGGAACAGTCTACACACGATCGGATCCATGTTTCACAGTCATGATACATGCCTTTCCAAAAATAACGTATCCTGATTTTGTCATAAGTCTTCTGAATCCCCAGGTGGCCAGACAATGGATTGTCATGACAGGCTTCCAGAATTTCATGTCTTAAAGACTGAGGGATCACTAATTGCAATAACGTGTCTTTTGTACTTGTCCTAGGAGGATGATAAAGGTGAAATAATAACCCGTGTTCATCTAGGATATAAAAATCAGCTTCTAAGAGTATTTTTCGGGCCGTAGGATTATCCGGCGGTAAGTGACCGGTTTCTAAATACTGAATCAATGGTACTAGTGTAGCGTCTCGAGATTGGGACTCGGAAACTTTGTGTAAAAGATCTTCAGGAGTGTCTACAACGTTAATATCGGTATACGAACGACGTGATAGTCCGTCAGCATTGCCATTGGAGGCACCAGAACGGTGTTTAATATCAAAATCGTAAGCTTGTAAGGTCAGAGACCATCTAGCTAATCGTCCTGTGGGTTCCTTAATTCCCATTAGCCATTTTAAACTGCTATGATCAGTATATACCGTAAAACGATTGTTATGAAGATATGGATGGAATTTCTTTACAGCCTGTASCAGTGCTAAAGCTTCTTTCTCAGTCACTGAATAATTTCGTTCAGCGGAATTTAAATCACGTCCCGCATAAGCTATTGCGACTTCCTTATCGTTCTGAATTTGAGAGAGAACCATACCAATAGCAAAATCACTAGCGTCAACATGCAAGATATAAGGTTGATCATGAAGTGGAAAGGCTAAAATTGGAGCCGAAATCAAAGCCTGTTTAAGTGTATCGAAAGCGGTTTGACATTCTTGTGTCCATTGGAACTTAACAGATTTTCTGGTAAGATTGTTAAGTGGTACCGCGATTTTAGCAAAGCCTTGGACAAAACGACGATAGTAATTAGCTAAGCCTAGAAAACTACGGACACCTTTGAGATTTTTKGGTATTGGAAATTCAGCAACTGCTTTAATCTTATCAGGATTAGGTTGAACGCCATCTGCGCTAATAATGTGACCGAGATATTCAATAGTTGGGCTAGCAAAAGCACATTTGGTCGGTTTAAGACAGAGATTAGCGRCTCTTAAGCGGTTGAAAACTTCTCGCAGATCCAACARATGTTGGTCAAAATTTGGCGAATATACAACAATGTCATCGATATAGCATAGAGCAGACTTATAATTCAAACCTCGTAAAATGCTTTCCATAAGACGCTGAAAGGTAGCAGGTGCATTACATAAACCAAAAGGCATTACTTCCCATTCATACAGTCCAGAAGGAACWATAAACGCAGATTTGTAACGAGTTTCAGGATCGAGTTCTACTTGGTGATAGCCTGATCGAAGATCGAGAGTTGAAAACAACTTAGCGCCGGAAAGGGAATCGATCATGAACACGATGTTGGGCAATGGAAAACTATCTTTCTCTGTGAGAGCATTCAAACGGCGGTAATCAACACAAAAACGATCGGTATTGTCTTTCTTTTTAACTAAAACTACAGGTGAACTCCAAGGAGAGGTGGAAGGTCGRATAATATCACGCTCTAACATATCCTCAACATGGGACTCAATTGTACGCCGTTGTGTTTCCGATACGCGATAGGCTCTTTGTCGAACAGGTTTTGCACTTCCTGTGTCGATAGTATGTTGAACTATAGAAGTTCGCCCTAATTCTTGATCATTAGCAGCAAAAATATCACGATATTCTTGTAATAACTCTTGCAAAACTACCTTTTGATCATTATTGAGATCAGACTTAGTCAAATCAACTTTAATAGGTCCAGAAAAAGAAGATGGTTTTGACTCATCCGTTAACGGCGAMGAATTAGKATCGTCAAAAGAAAGTATTATTGATGGATTGYTCATGGCCGTGAATAARCCTAATGTGGTTTTCTGGTGAATAGTTACTTCAGAAGGCGTCGGATTTAAAAGCTTGCAAGGTACCATGTTTTGTTCAGAAACAGTAACTAAAGAAGCCGCACCAAAAACATTATAGCGGTCAGAGAGGTTTGGTTTTGGTTCAACAAGACCAGTTATGCCAGGATCAAACGAGACTTCAAGATTTGCAAAGACAAGAGTCTCGGCAAGTGGTGGCAAAATGTAAGTCTGAGAAGCAAAAACCTTACATGTGGTATAGTCGGAACTCTCACTATGAAGTATAGGAGACTCGTGATCGGTAACGAAAGAAAGAATATGCTTATCTAAATCAATAACAGCCTTAAAAAAGTCTAGGAAATCGTTACCTAGAATAACATCGTATGTTAAACCCTCCACAACTAGGGTGGGAAACTTATAAACTTGATTGTCGAGTTCAAAAGGTATCTCAACTTGCCCTTTAATAGAGATTTGGTTGMCTGTGACTGACCTTAATGGATTACACRRACTTGTGGTCAGCGGAAAATTGTTCAACTCTGGAACATTATTGTAAACTTGTATATCAATAACTGTATTTGTTGCACCCGTATCGCAAAGAAATATATATGACTTATTGAAAATTTTGCCCTGTACTGACAAATTCTTTGTAACATCTGTAAAATTGATTGCACTAATTGCATTTTCCTTATTTTCACTAAAAACTTCACCAGCAGTTTCTTCTGCTGTCTTTTGTAAACTTGTATTATTATTTGGAACTTCATCAGATGTCAAGAATAAACTAACATTGGGCGCATCAATGTCGTTGACTTGTTGTG